TTAAGTAAGTTCAAAGAGTGGAAAACATTACAAGAAAATCTGACAGATAGAAAGGTCAAAACTCATAGGACTGATAATGGATTTGAGTTCTGTAACAAACTATTTGATGATTACTGTACATAGGCAGGTATCTAGAAACATAGAACAGTTAGGAAAATCCCATAGCAAAATGGGGTTGCTAAAAGAATGAACAGAACCATTCTAGATAAGTCTAGGTGTATGTTGTTTCAGGCTAGCTTGCCTAAGAGTTTCTGGGGTGAAGCTGTTATGACAACTGCGTACCTAGTCAATAGATGTCCCTTAGTGCCATAGAGTTTAAAACCCTTGAGGAGTTATGGAGAAACAAACCACCTGATCTGTCCCACTTAAGAACCTTTGGGTGTGCTGCCTATGCTCACCAAAAGGAGGGGAAATTAGATCCTAGATCTATTAAATGTGTTTTATTAGGATATCCTAAAGGGACTAAAGGTTATAGATTGTAGGTTAGAGATGGAAAAGGTTTTAAAACAATAAATAACAGAGATGTCATATTTAATGAATTTGATTTTCCATGTTTATCTCACACTAATATGTCTGCAGGAAAAGATACTTCTTTAACTAATAATGCAGGTACTATTGAGAGTCAAATTCAGGTGGAGCCTCAATAAGGAAAAACAGACATTGATCAGGTAAAGCATGGGTAAACTCAGTCACAATAGATTGATTATGGAAATACCTCTGATGAACCAGAATCTCAGCCATCAGATGTAATGCAACCCACTCCATAACATGATCATGATAGATCACTGCCAGATGACTATATACTAGTTAGGGACAGATCAAACAAAGTTTCCAAGCCAACTTAAAGATATGGATTCTCAACCTACTCAGACTTCTTAGCCTATGCTTTCACAACAACAATGAACATCGACAAACATGAACCAAAAAGCTATAAGGAAGCTGTTAGTTGTAAAGAAGCAAGCATGTGGATTCAAGCCATGAAAGAGGAAATGTCATCTTTATACAAGAATAGATCATGGGAGATTGTGAAGAGACTAAAAACTCAGTATGTGGTAGCCTACAAATGAATTTACAAAATTAAAAAGGGATCATCTCACTCAGAACCTGTGAAATACAAGGCAAGATTGGTTGTCAATGGATTTACTCAAAAGGAAGGTGTGGACTTCACATAAATATTTTCACCGGTGGTCAAGTACAAGACAATCAGGATCATGTTATCTCTTTTGACTCAATTTGATCTAGAACTAGATTAAATGGATGTCAAGACTGCATTTCTCCATGGAGAATTAGAGGAAAGAATATACATGGAGCAGCCTGAAGGATTTAAAGTGCAGAAAGACAATGACATAGTGTGTCTTCTTAAGAGGTCTTTATATGGCCTAAAGTAATCTCCCAGACAATGGTATAAAAGGTTTGATACCTTTATTTCTAACTAGGGATTTGCAAGAAGCTGGTTTGACACTTGCCTATACTACAGAGTATGCAACATATTGAATGTTGAGTACCTATTATTGTACATTGATGACATGTTATTAATAAGTAAGGAGAAGACAAAGATAGTCAAGATGAAAAAAATGTTGAAATCATAGTTTGAAATGAAGGATTTAGGTCCATCAAGGAGAATTCTTGGCATTAAAATTAACAGAAACAGGAGTACAGGAATTCTATTTCTAAATCAGAGAAAGTACGTAGAGAAGCTAACTGAAAAATTCTCTATGTCAGGAGCCAAAGCATCGGGACAGCCCATAACCTCTCAATTTCAATTGTCATCTCAACAGTGTCCTAATAGTGAAGAAGAAAGAAAGTATATGGAAAGTGTTCCATATGCTAATGTTGTGGGATCAGTGATGTATGCAATGGTCTGTACCATACCTGATTTAGCTCATGCCATTAGCACCTTAAGCAGATTTATGTCAAATCCAGGCAAGTACCACTGGGAAGTTATGAAATGGCTATTAAAATACATTAGTGGTACTACCAATTATGGATTAAAATATAAGAAGCATAGATAAGAAGTTACAGTTGAAGGTTTTGTATATTTTGACTATGCTGGAGATAGAGATAGCAGGAAATCAACTACTGCCTACTTCTTTATGGTGTGTGGTAATTGCATTAATTGGAAGTCACAACTCCAACCAATTGTTGCATTATCCACCACCGAAACAGAATATATGGCAGTCACTGAGGCTATCAAATAAGGCATTTGGGTTCAAGGTTTGCTCAAGGAACTGAAGCTACTAAAAGGAATAGGAACTGTATACTCTGACAATCAAAGTGTTATACATTTGTGTAAAAATCTTGTGTATCATGACAGGACAAAACACATAGAAGTCAAATACCACTTCATAAGGGAGAAGATAGCAGAAGGAAAGATCAACATTGAAAAGGTTCCTACTAAAGTGAATCCGGCAGATATTGGGACAAAGGTTGTAACTCTTAGCAAGTTTAAGCATTGTCTTAAACTGCTAGGAATTGACAATGGCTAATGATAAATGAGGTCGAGCAAGGATCCAGAGGAAGGGAAGATTTCACTAAGGAATTATATGTAATTGAGGTGGAGATTGTTGATTCAATTACATATAATTCATTGGAAGATTATTTCTGCAATATTGAAGATAGAAGAAGGAAAACGATAGTTCCTTTTATTCAACATCAATAATACGACAACATTATTAAGAGATAAAGAAGGTGACGGGGATGTTTTAAATGCAGCTGGAACACTAGTATTGAACCGCTTAGAAAAGTCATATTTCTTCAATCTTTCAGCTATATATATATATATATATATATTGTACCGGAACATTACAGTGTGTGGGAACAGAATTTTTCTGATTAGAGAAAGAGAGAGTAAATTGCTTGTAACAAAAAAAGCCTTAGAAAGAGAAATAGGTTCTAGAGTGAGAAAGGGGTAGATAAGAGGCTATCTTGCTCTGTAATTTTCTTGCTTGGGCTTCTCGGGAAAGAGGGCTGAGATTTTCTGGGAAGTTTTACTCTTGATATTGCTGTTGTAATCAGAATATTATTGATTAGTGCAAAACAAATTCCTCTGGGAAGTTCGCGGAGATGTAGGTGGATTTATCACTGAACTCCGAGATCAATTGCTTGTGTTCTTGAGTTTTCTTTTCTGTTTTTTGATTCTGTGATTGAAGACATTTTTATCAAGAGATTATGAATTTTTATAGTTTCAATGAAAATATTACAAAGTGACATCAGTCTCAACGTACCCTTAATTTTATTTTAAGACTAAGTACTCCAAAATCGCTCATTGTCCTTATGAAAGACAGCTAAAAAGAACGACATGGCAATTTTATTTGCAGTTTTTGTGATCGTTGCAGTTTTAGTAATAAAAATAAAAGGGCAAAAAATAAGAAATAAAATTCAATTTTCTCTTTTAAAATAAATCATGTTTTCAAACCTAATCCAATTAATATCAAGAATTTAAACCAAGCTTCATAACAGAAAATAAAAGTACGAAAAACGTTATTTTATTTTTCATATATCATTATTTTATTTTACTTATATTTTTTGAGCTATTGTTGTGAGAATCCTCAAGTGCATGGAATCATATAAGTAATATAATGTTCCGGAGTACAGATATCACTTCCCCACTCTTATACCTTAATATTCATTCTAACATTTGTGTCCGTATTTTTTTCTTTTAAGGTATAGAGGTGGGGGAGCAAACCAAGCTTTACCCCACATCCATTATTATCTCTAACTAAAGTGAGATGAGATTCAACTTGAATTCAAGCAATAGATGGAAGAGATAGAATTAATAGTAGCTACAAACCCAAACAATAACTACATAAACTTAAATTCAAGCATAAATTGGTATATAGAAATCTTTCAATAAGCAAGAAGTTGATAATAATCCCATAAAACAGGTGAGGAACTTACAAAATACTATTCAAGGTAAGCAATCGGTGAGGAAGAGATGGAAGAGATAGAATTACGCCTCAGGTACAATAGCAAACAACAAGGGATGGACCCACGATGGAACTTGATAGAGGTTGGGTTGCAAAAAGACGACATGATGTTTTTGGGCTAAGAGATGGGGAAATGATGGCTTTTTGGCACAAGAGCTCTCATTGTTGTTATTTGTATGACACAAAGCTCAAGGCATTGAAGAAATTGAGTGGAATGCTGCTGAGGTGTTTTAAGATCTCTTTTATTTTATCGATTTGAGTTTAAAATTTAAATTTTATTATAATAAAAAAATTTTAAAAATAGTCATATTTAATATTTTTATTACAATAAAAAAATTTCATATAAAATTACATAACAACTCAAATTAAAATTAAATCAGTAAACTAAACGAGCCCTTAAAAAAATAAAAAAGAACTACTGGCTTGAGAAACTATCTAATTAATAGTAGCCAGTGTTACAAGGTGCTTGACGCAGACTTTTGTGTGTGTGTATTTTTTTCTTTTTAGATTTCAACAAGATTTTGATGTGGAAATTGTTAATGACTCTTCTTTATTCTTCTTCTTCTAGTTTTTCATGGGATAATAAATTAGTAATAGTTAAAATATTTAGGGCCTATTTACTTTGTTGATTTAAATTTTTAATTTGAGTTTAGATATAATTTTATGTAAAAAAATTTTACTGTAATAAAAAAATTAAATGTTTCTGTTTTTGAGAATTTTTTACTGTAATAAAAATGGATTTCTATGGTTTTATTTCAGTGACAAATTTTTTTTTCCCTTTTATGACATTTATGGTGGAACGAGAACCATTTGAAATTCATGAATGTGTATGTGTTTTCCGGTCATGAGTTTAACCAACTAATCTAATTTATTTTTCCTTTGATTCTGGTTTCAATTTTTTTTTTTTTTTTCACAAATGCACGTGAAACTATTAGTAGGTTGAACCCCTAAAATATTCCTTCTAACATCTAATCGTTTATTAATTGACGTCATCAATTAAAATACATAGTAAAAAAATAATTAAATCTAAAATTCTAAAATATTAAAATTATGTTTAGAATCAATAATCACCCAATCTTCTCATTACTCATAACCATTATCATTTATCATCCACAATATACAAAGACAAAAAGAAATTACAAAAACAAAACCTTTCATTGCCCATCATTACTCAACTCTACCCCAACATCAACTTTTCTCTCATTTTGACCCTCCTCCTCAAACTCTTTAATCAGATAAGGATCAACATTCTCCTCCGGCTCCCACGTGGCATCCTCCATATCCGCCCACTTCACCAAGTACTCATTCTTCCCATCATCCCCGACCCTCTTTCCCACCACCGCCTCCGCCACCGCGTATTCCAGCCCCGCCTCGTAATCCCTCACCAAATCCTCCGCCACAAATCTCGCCTTCACCCACTCATTATTCTCTCCGTCCTTCCACTTCACCAAGTACTCCAAATTCTCTCCTTTCCCTCTCCTCTCCATAATCTCCTCCACCCCCGCGTACTCGAAAACCGCCCCTTCCAACGCCCTAACCGCCCCTTCCAGCCCCAATCTCCTCCCGAACTCCATCGGATTCCCCCTCGGCGTCGCCATCAGAATCTCCCTCGCCAGATCCAACGGCGTCCGCCGCCGATCGTCTTCCACCTCGGGATCCGCGCCAAGACGGAGGAGTAAACTCACCACGCTGGCCCTGGCGTACCCCGCCGCCATGTGCAGCGCCGTCAACCCGCCGGCTTTGTCGCGCCGGTCAAGGTCCGGACCGGCCTCGGCGAGGATTTTCACGCACGGCTCCGAGCCCAGCCCCGACACGAAGTGGAGGGCCGTCCGGCCGTCGGAGTCAACTGCGTTGACGTCGCGGCCGTCTTCAGCCTCGACCAGGGCTCTGAGGGCGTTCTCGTCGGCTTTCTTTGCGGCGGTCCACCAGGGAGTCTCGTACTCTGCGACGACGTCCTTGGCGATGTAGTCAGCCGGGACCCACGACGGCGCGTGGCCGTCCTTCCACTCGATCAGGTACTCCATTCCGACGGCGTCGCCATCGAGCGCTCTCGAGCCGATGATCTTGCTGACTTCGCCGTAGTACTCGTCGGCGGCGGCGGCGGCGAGTGTTTTGGGGTTCTCTTGGTTTTGGATGACGTGGACCGTCGTGAGATTGGGCTTTGGGCCGGGCCTGAGGCGAATGGATTGGGTGGCGGTGAAAGGAGAAGGAGAAGAGGTGGTGAAGTAAGGACACTGGTTTTGCTTTGGAGAGAGTTTGAGGTGAGAGAGAGATTGGTTAACGAAGAGAGCGTCCATGGAAGTGGGAAGTTTGGAGTTCATGTGTGAGTTGTGATTGGACTAAGGAAGCAATGTTCTTCTTCGAGTTTTCATTTTTTGGATTCTGCGTAATCTGAGAGTGTGGTGTTGGAAGATAAGAAATCCCATCCACTTCCGACCTAGCTTCATGGCCGTTTTCGGGTGTGAGTGTGTGGGGACGTCTTTGGCATTTTTGTTTTCTCTATGGCTCGAGTTTTTTTCTTGCGTTGATATGTCCGTACTTTTAAAATTGAGACCCGATCATTTCATTTGAGTTTAAAATTTATTTTATCGATTTAAATTTAAATTTTAAATTTTATTATAATAAAAAAATTTTAAAAATAATTATATTTAATTTTTTTATTATAATAAAAAAA